ATAATGAAAATATGAGTGCCTCTACACTAAATGGATCGAAGAACATATTGCAAAGAGAATACGAGTTAATGGCCCTTATTATGAGTTGCATTCGATTTTCGATCTTTGCTGGCTATCGAAGAAAATGAGTCACACAATTATTTAATGTTTCCTCAATGGATTTCAAACAATTTCATGTATAACATATTTTTGAGCATTCAATTTAAAAAACGTTGAAAATTATTGAAATCGGACTAAAATTACACCCACTTTTCATATAACAGTAAGTTTCAAAAATGCTCGAAACTTCGAAATTTCGAAATTTAATGTATACCAACAACAATCCCTTGAAAAGAAGTAGCAATATTATAGAATTTTGGAAAATGGACGTGATACCGCTCACATATGTATATAAATTTATCTCATTATATCTTACTTAACGTTCTATCGAAAATGTTTGAAATAGCGGTAAAATACCTCCTGCTTAGTATGTAGGTTTTCGGAGAATAGTTGCGCCTGATATTTAATGTTCGGCTCCGCCCGAACTTAAACTTTCTTTACTTGTTTTAACATTTAAAATTTTAAAATTAGTTAATATGAGTAAATGCATTGTGAAACATGTAGGCGATGTGTACGTTTGCCCGTGAGTGATAAACTCTTTGCACTGTGTGGCTGATGAAAACGAGTAAACATCGACCTGAATGCATTTACTGCTATGTAAATGGCAAAAGTACTAGGTAAATGACTAGTATTTGGGGATAAATGACTGAATTGCCTCAGCAAGCAAACAAATGGCATTGAAATTGAACACATTCGAAATGAAGTGAAATGAACTGCAGCAATAAAAACAACAAGCGACAAGAACAACACTAGAGAAAGCAGTGGGAAACGCGAATGCAATGCATCTTTTCCATTCCTCCTAAAACTTAACACTGCATAGACAAACTCCCAAATGGCAAATGAGGTGTTCGTAAACAAACTGTCGGATAAACAAAAACTGATACGAAAGCCTGCATGCATACGGATGTGTGCATATAAATAAGTATGGATGTTTATGTAGTTTCTGCAAATATGTAGAAATCGACAATCGCATGTATGTACATACGTATATGTTGCACACGAACAATTGGCACCAAAAATTACGAAAACCACTCGAACTGCCTACACCCACATGCTGTGCTAAGCTGCTCGTATCAACTGTTGCCAGTTTCGGCTGATTTGTGTCATTGTTTTTAACATTAGTAGGTAGTTAGCATGACAAATAGTCATCTCAGCATGTCGCCAAATGCTGCGAAGCATGTTAAAGCAAACGTTTGTCCTTCATGTGACAATCCTACTTCGCATTCCTGTTCATTCAATGTCCTCAGATGTTGTAGTTATGTGCATATGTATGTACCAGTGTTGCCGCGAATAATTTTTAGTGGTAGCCAAATTCATTTTAAAAAAGGGCTAAAAAGAACTAAAAAAATGCATTGTGGCTAAAAATGGTAGCTAAAATTTTTTACTTACATATATATTTATAAGGCACGGCACATACACCACACCAGCTTGCTGGTACTATCAAGAGATTGTGCCATCAGGCTCGAGGCATATAACATACCAGTATACTGGTGCAATATTTATATTAATATCTTTACAAATGAGGTCCAGAAAAGAGCGAAATGATTAGAGGGGAAATTTCATAATTTTTTCACAAACACAGCTTTGACTCATATAGTGTATCGTGCAAGGAATTTCCGGCAAAATACTTTTTACTTTAAAAATTAGCTAATTTCACCACTCACGACACCAGTTTGCTGGTACAATCATAAAATTTTCAAATCGTTTTTGATGTCGCACCAGCAGCTGGTACAATCACACCGCAAGAACATGCACGGTCAATCGGCTGGCACCAACATTTGATGGCGCCAGCATGCTGGTATCATCTATGGGCCCTTTAAGAAATTAAGCATATTAGGGCTATTTTAAAGTACATATAGTTAATTCTCATTTTCATTGTTGGTGTTTCCGACAGGGTAGAAGTGTGATGTAATGTGCAACGATTTTCCGTCATCCCTTGTAAAATTTGGTTTGGAGACAAGCCGGTTTCGGCGTTGTGCCATCCTCAGGGCCAGTTTTTCAGTGCACGGTCGTAGTTTAAACTCAGTTTAAACTAAGGTCAGCCAATCAAATGTCAGCCAGCTGTTCAATTTAAACTAAGTTTAAACTGGCACTGAAATCTGGCCCTCAGTGTCATTTTTCGTTCGTTAGTTAAATCGTTAATAGATAAGTTTACGGCCCTAACCCTTTTATAGTCTGTATAAAAACGTAAGGAACCTCAATACATATACACACACATAGAGTTTTCCTTAGATTAAAAATTCATCTCTTGAAAAAAATTAGATCAAATTAATAATAAATTTTCCAAAGGGGTAAAAAAAGGACTAGTGGTAATTTTACATTTATGTGGTATGTGGTAGCTGAATCTAGCCACCAAAGAACTAAAACGGCAACACTGGTATGTACTACAATCATCCATTATGAGAGCACTTCGCCATTGACCTGTGAAAATTTAAATTTTTGTAAACATACCAGTTTGCACTCATGACGAATGTCTATGTTATTTGTTTTAGCTTCCGCTTCCGATCTGAATGAGCCGCCACGGCTAGGACTTGTACGGAAAATCATACATTCAAGAGTGCTATGCTCGTTTGTAAAGTAATAGGGTGTTTACATGAGGCGATTTTACAGGCAACTTTTGGTTGAAAGCAACAATCGCCTGGTATGAACGGCCTTTCAACTATTCGCTCCAAATGAAATTGAGGGGCAGCCAACTTTTGATTCAACTAATTGCCTGTAAAATCGTCTAATGTTAAACCGCCGTATAAACGGACTAAATATGATTAGCATATCAGAAAACTCGCAAGCCTTTTTAACTGACTATTCTAACTATTCTGCTTCTAAACAAAATAGATGTTTGCATCAACAAAGACGCTCCTGAAATATCGGTATACTTAAATTATATTTGGTCTGGTTGTGTGAGTTTGCTAGTAGTTAAACCAGAATGGTTCAATCGTCTCTCAAGAGCTACAAGAGAATAAATTAAAATGTATAAGATTGGCGCTTACACAACATATTAGTATTTGACCGAAATTCTCCTCCGATTTGTGGCGTGCGCCTTAAAGTTGTCACGCAAAGAGGAGGGTCCTACAATTTTACGCCGACTCCGAATGGCGATTGCATTTTTATGAGAAGCAGTTTTTTCACGGCAGAATAGATACATTCGGAGGTTTGCCATTGTCTGCCGAGGGGCGACTGCTATTAAATGAATTAATTAAAATGAATTCTTTTTAAAATGCATGTCAATGATATATTTAATTTTAAGAAGCCTTTTTTACTTCAAACCTAGAGGTTTTACCCGACTGAAATAATGGTGGAACTCATGAAACGTCGCAAAGTTGTTGCATATGTTGCTTTTGGTTTAAGATTTCCCACCTTGCGACACAGCTTATTACATTTGTATGAAAACTTTATTGCGACATTGCCATATTATTTGAGCTGGAATCATTGCACATTCAAGTCGCGAAACAACTGTTTTTTATTCCCCCCGAATACTTCAAGAAAAACTACATATGTCAGTCAGGTTTCTTCGAAAATCGTACACATCGCATACGATCTTCAAAAGTGACACAACTCAAAATTTGACATTTTGGAAATTGTGCACTAAAAATGTACACAGAGCTTTTATTTTTCAGCAAATTTTTTATATGTATGTACATATATTTGTTGAAAAAAAACCTAAGGTGTAGTCTTCCTTGCCCAAACTATTAGCATGTGCTTAGATATAGTTTTTCGCATTTTCTGACGAGTTGTGTCTTTTTGTAAAAACTTTTCTTTTTCACTTATGAGCGGAACTTTGAAAACAAACTACATTTGCAATCCGGAGTAACGTTAGGTCGTTCACACAAGTTTGTTCACAACGTTGACATTTTGGCAAAAATGCCACGTGGCGACCTTTCATGATTTTATTTTTCAATTTTTACAACGCTTTTATCAACTTGCAATGTTGTGGGTCCAGAAACTTTCAATGTTGTGGATCCAGAAACTTTCAATGTTGTGTGTCCGATACCAAAGCAAAGCTTTGAAAAGTTCCTATAAAAAAGCATAGTGCATAGGGCGACAGCTGTAGTGAATAGGGCGAGGTAGATGACATCTAGATGTCGCCCTATGTACTACGTTTGCTACAGCGGAAATAGACGACACGCCATTTCTTTAAATAAAATTAATTGGTGCTCGTTTGTATGTACATACATATGTAAATGCATGTGTGTGCACCTCTCTATTAATATCGTTGAATTATTTTAATATCTATTGCAAAATTTTATTCAGACAGGACTAAAATGTAGAAAATAAATAATATAAAAAAAACTTTTTAATATACAACGCTTTTATAAATGGACTAAAAAGTAGAAAATAATATTTCTCAGTCCCATAGAATTTGTTTTGATAACTTTTGATTTTGAAATTTTATGTAATACACTTGAATTGATATGAAAAGTAATATATGTATGTATGTATGTGGGTATATGAATAACGACCGCTTAAAATCGATTTCAAAGTTCTACTTTCGCTGTAGAAATTTTAGGTCTACGTTATGTAGTTTGACTATTGTCAATTAAATCGAATGCTTTATATTGCATGCGCTCCACGTTTTTCATTTTCAATTTCATAGATTGTTTATAATGACTTTTGCTAAAATTTCAAAATCAAAAGTTATCAAAACAAATTCTATGGGACTGAGAAATATTATTTTCTACGTTTTAGTCCATTTATAAAAGCGTTGTATATTAAAAAGTTTTTTTTTTATATTATTTATTGAAACATAAGTGGCGCTTTGTTCGAAAGGGATAGTCTGTGAGTATCTTGCAAGTAAACTGTTTTTTGTTTGTTCTGAAAAAATCTTTTTTTACAACCTATTTACATACATATTTACCCATATATACATATATGTATATCTACAATTATATTCTCTTTGTTTGCAGTTTGGTAAATTGGACAATGGATGACTCTCCACAAGTAAGAAGAGTACTCACGGAGGCGCTCAATGTGTGGGCTCGCAGCTCTAAGTTGACTTTTCGCGAAGTGCTGAGCGATCAAGCCGATATTCAAGTTTTGTTTGCCAGGTAAGTGTTACAGTAGCGTTTCCGATATTATTTAAAAATTGCTAAAGGGTAGTACTCCGTTGAAAGCCGTGAAATTTCGTCACAAACATACTTATTTTCACGCGAATTCAATTAATATGACAAAAATAAGGAATCCCAATGGTTGGTTTCAGACTGGAACATTTCTGCCACGAGAACAACTCAGGTTGTAGGCGAGAGAGACAGTGTGGTGAGGTAAAGTTTCTCAAAAAGTTGTTTCAGCCTCTACCCCGCATTAAAGTGGCAGTTCTGCTGCAGCGCACCAACGCATGCGCAACTACGAAAATGCCGCTACGCAAATGTCATTTGAAAGCAATAATTGTATTTTATTTGCTCGAGCTAAACATTTGAAAGCATGCATGCGTAGTCGACAGTGGCTGAGCGTGCAGAGGAGTGTGTCGCTATCTGTTAACTTCCAGAAGGTGCCGGGTTCGAATTCGCCAGGCGCTTCTTAATTTTATTTTATTTACCATGAAAAAGTATCTGTGAAGTGCAGAAGGAAAGCGTATTTAACGAAAAATTCAATCATTTTCATTTTCTGTACATACGTTTCTGCCGCACGCTTTAGTGCGAAAACGGATCGTCAAAGTATCCGAAAATATAATCAGTAAATGGACGAAAATCCGCAATTCATCCACTTTAGCGTCCCTTTTCGGATCGGTTTTCGGATTTTTTGCTGGCTAGGTATACTCATTTTGTTCCACTGTTGTTCTGCTAGTTTTCATCCAGTGTAAAACCGTGAGAATAATTGTTCTGTCATTCCAGTTTGACAGCCCTATGGGAATGGTTTCGTTTTTTCGCTTATACTTCGTCTCAGTGGTCTCTCCTTCTTATTTGACACTACAAGCGTTTATCGATTTGCTTTCGTTGTTCGTCCATGGATGACGAGTCGAAGGATATTTTCATTGGTGCGTCGTAATCCATGTGTACAACACGGCGAAGCAAGCGCAATCGTTCTATTGTCATACGGTTCGTCATTATTCCGATGGATTTTAGTCTTTTCATTGAAACCTGTTTTTATGTGGCACAACCCACTGCTGGGAGGGATATTTTCTCAACCGTATACCCATTTATATAGCGAGCCAAGCAGCTGAAGAGTTCAATGAGCATTTAAGTCGAAGAAGTTTCAGTGGTCCTACCGAAGCTCCATCTCTTCCTGCCGTAACCCAAGGCTCCACTCGTTTTGGTTACCGCATCTCGGACAGGGGCTGCTCACGTTCCCAGAGGGCGCGAATAAGGACAAAAGAATCGGCATTGAGTATAGCCGTCCAACTGTAACTCTATACCCGGAAGAATGACTATACGACATTTTGCTGATAATAATGAGTAAACATCTGTATCTTTCTGATATACGAAATTACTGGCCAACAGTCTAAAAACGAGATTTAAATTTTTTACATTTTTACTGTCATAATCATTCAAAGTAAACTTTACATACATATGCCAGAATGGTCTCAATACGGAGCAGTAGTTTTATAGTTGAAGGCAAAAGTTGCTCATTCTCACATACATACAGCATACGCTCGATAGCCAAACACATTCGTATCAGTGAGCAAGGTATAAAATATCTTTTAAAAAATTAGTAGATTCGAGTGACGCAAATGGAATTCTGTAACTAAAGATATGGGTTTTTCAATTAACTTAGAACCATATTTAACTACTTTTGTATTTAAAGTACCATTTGGGTACTAAACTTAGGTTACTAAGTGAGTGTATCAAAATCGATGATTGCAATAACCACTCAGCAGAAAATAAGATTATTATAGCTTTCTTGAATAATGGGCGTGGCGCCGCCGACTTATGACCACAAATGTGTAATTCGGTAACCGATTTATCAATTTCTGCCAAACTCGGTGCACTTAATAACCTTGGTATGGAAAAGCAATTCTTTGAAAATTATTCAAACCGTACAGCAAACTGGACTTTCATTCCCTGCACACTCAACCATGCCACTAGGTATGTATACATATGGCTTGGAAGAAATTTTACCATATACATATCTACCTTTAGAAACTCAATACTTGGCTGTGACCTAACAAACTATATAAAAGCTCGTAATTGTATTTTTATGTTTAAATTGCTTGTGTATAAAAAGTCGGAATATCTATATGAAAAGTTTAACTTTTCCAAAAGCTCACGCTCATTCAAGGCTTTTTTGTTAATAGTGTTAGACTTTGGAACTCTCTTCCACTGTCTCACTGCGTGAAAGTAATTTCAAAATATTTATCTTTGAATATATTTCCAGTTAAGTTGCATAATAAGGCGGTCATAAATTTTCTTTTTGACTTTTCTAAGTTAATATTTACATGTACATACATAGCTATATTTATATAATTTTAATTTTTATTTTATTTTAATACATATTTTTGTAACCCGTCATTTGTATTGCGCAATAAAAGATTAATTCTTAATGCGCTAATGTACTTAAACAAACAAATAAATAAAATTACAGCCGCTTCCCGTATAACGGTAAATTTCAGAAAGACGAAAACTCCGATATTTCAGTAACTGGGGATGCTAATGTTCTCCAAGTAAATAGTTACAACAACCTCTTAACAATAAATAACTCTGCTATAGACCTTTAGGAATTGGGCACCATTCACTTTATGGCTACAAGGGCGTCTCTTAGTAACCACTTTATCGATTTCTACCAAACTTGGTTTGATTATTTCATTAAGTCTAACTCAGCATATTATAGAAAGGTGTGAAATCGTGAAAAACACCCCTTCTTATCATGCAAAGGTAGTTTAGAAAACGTTGAAACGACGATACCTTCGCCGGGTATATAAAATTCGGTTTCGCCCGAACTTATAACTTCTTTACTGGTTTATCTTTAAACTCGAGATGAGCTGTAAATACTTCTACATTACAGTATGTATTTGAATCCTTTCTTTTCCTATTCAAAGTATCTCGGTTAAAAAGCATATTTTCAGAAATTGTTTCACGTCATTTATGCACCTCTTGATGGAAATGTGCTTATGTATTTGTATTGCATATTTATGTATATATAAGCTCATTTACATATTTCCATAAATACAACTACACCTGATCCCCTTTTTACACGGCAAGTCTGTAGTTTACAAAGTTCCGCAAAAAATAAAGTTTAGTGAAATCACATTTTTAAAGAAATTTACTTAAAGAGATAGGAAAGAAAGAAGATCTATTTTGCATATGAATCTCCCAACGTGATTTACAAATTACATTGGATTGCAAGGCCCTATTTTTATTTTTGGGAGTCTAGTTAAGATTTACGATTGAATCCCCCAAAATGTATAATGAGAAGGTAAAGGAGATAAAAAATGTATTGCAGGATGTAGAAAATATCATGCCAAAAATTCATGTAAAATAAAACCGTGTATGAAAGGATCAAGTGTACCTACATATGTACATATGTGCATATATATGTGCGATGAGCGAAAGCGTTTGCATTTGCGTTAAAAAATAAATCACTCATACGCCCGGGCAAAGATTGTCATGCTTATGCAAATCAATATTTTTGCTTGATTGGCTTTTAATCATTATGACAGCTGAAAAGAACAGCAGTGAAATTGAATGGAATTAGCGAGAATTACAACAGCTGCGAGCATAAGTGGTTTTGTGATTTTGATTTTTGAAGCAATGTTTACATAAATTTGTTTTACATACTATATGCACGTATGAATATACATATATCGCACATTTTTGCAAGATTGTCATTATCATTCTGTTAAGTATGCAGAGATGAGCGTCGCTATCCCTTTTATATTGTGAAAAAATGTCATAGCTTCATCTGCTACCCTTGTCTCACTAGCACAAAATATGTATGTATGTATGTAAAACTTTTGGTTTAATTTTTAAACCGCGCTGGGACTGCTGCCTTTTTAATCTTTTATAGTCTACTTTTTAAACCAGTCAATAGCTTTTAGCAATTTTTAATATATTCTGGTTTGAATTTTGTGCAAAAAGTTCGTGGTTTAAAAATAAAACCAAAATATTTTAATTCTAGTTTCTAGGTTTCATATATAGAAAATTTGGTTTAAAATTTAGTCATATGAACTGACGGCATCAACATAGCGAAATGTGGTGTTGATTCAAACTCAACATATGAAAGCACATTTACATGGGTGGCTGTAGCTGAATGTGCAAAGATGCTTGATACAATTGGTTGCTACCAAGGCTGTTCGGGTTCAATCCCCATCCAACGGAGCATGAAATTTAATATTTTCTATTGTATATTCTTAATTAAGAAAATGTTTGGGTTTAAAATTTAAGCCGAAAAGTTTAAATTCTAAACCCAACATATGGGCCCTCTTTTTTTAAAACTTGGAAGGTTTGTTTTTGAAACTGAATTTAGTTTGGTCATATATGTAGTCCAAAAAGTTTAAAAGTAAAACCGATATTTTTAACCGTGTAAAAGCGAGAACGAAAACACGGGTGATTCGCGTACACGGTCTCTTTGGGTAAGAAAATTTTGGAAGCGCGGAGCAAACAACCCATACTACACAACGTTGATGAATGATCATTACCCCATAGTGAAATTATAAATAGCTGGATACTCTTATAATTCAAGCCAGCACCAACAATGCTCGTAATCCCGTACTCAATCAAAACAACATAAACCCAAAAATAAGCAAAAATCAAAACCCCAAAATATAGGTTATAATTAACAAATTTTCCATGTGAACAATAATTTAACGATTTAGTATATTAAGTAAAATACTATATTTCAAGAATTTTTGATATTTAATTCAACAATGTTTTCCATCGTTTTACACAAATTTACGATCAGTGCCACACAAGAAATAAAAATTGCTAGTGCAGCACTAGCAAGTTGAAATATATTTCCGAAATCGATATTCGCTCTTTTTTATTGCTGAAACTGATTTGCGAAAAGTGACAGCAAGATCTTTCTGGATGTTCACACAAATTTCTATTTCTCAATTTGAAAGCGAATTGCGTGCGAAAGACGGAAATATTGCCCGTCTGGCAGGCTCTCAACACAGAGAATATGGTTTGGAGTTTTATCTTCAGTTAAAATCTCTGCATTATCATCACTTGCTTCACTATTTCCGAACTGCAGGTTTCGTTTAAAAAGACGATGCGAACATGTGGTACCAAATAGTTGCGTAAAAATATGTCAAATTTTACATACAAGCAGGTGGGGTGAATGGCGCAATAAACAGGTGAAGTAATAAAACAGCTTTCCCGCTTTATTTTGTGACATTCGGCTGCCTTATATTCATATTTTATAGACAAATTTTCAGATAAGGCAGTGTAATTCCACCATGCGTGGGGAATGGTGCAATAACACCATACGCAATAATTCTCATTACTTACACATTAAAAAGAAGTTTCAGAAGTGAACTAGTGTCATTTTATTATTATTCTTTTTTCTAAACGGTTATAATGCCACCAGTGCATAATGAAAAATGAAAAATGAAAAACAAGTTTCGGAATTTCGGCTATTTTCCCAATTTAAGGAAATATCCAAAAATTTTGTGTTTAAAATTGAATTCTGGTGTAAATTTAAACAAACCAAATAAATATCTAAATATATCGATAAGCAAACTAAAGCGTTTAATTGGATTTTCTCTCTCGTTATAGGGGCGACCACGGCGATGGCTACAAATTCGATGGACCTGGCATGGTGCTTGCTCACGCTTTCTACCCAGGCGTGGGGCGTGGTGGCGATGCACATTTCGATGCCGATGAGAAATGGCAATTTAGCAGCGGGGAAAGGGGAGATAGTAAGTATACAAATTTAACTACATATATCAGTATCAATGGAAATACGTACTCTTAAAACACAATAAATTAAAGTGAGGAAAAAATGTTTACTGGCATACGATATCAGTGGCAGTATCAGAGCATTAAGTTCACTGTTATTTGGATCATCGCTAATTAATGAGCAATCCACAAATCCCCTAGAGGGGCAATGGCAATATTTGGACCGCAATAGACCCGCATAATTTACGACGCATTTTGCGATTTATCCAGTCGAGAATAACACAATGTAAACAATATGTTCCTACTCCTATCAGCCAATGCTATTGTGACCATTTTTTTTTCTTTTTTGGTTAACCTTCGCATTGTTGTCAGCACTCATTCAACCATTCAGTTTTTTACGCGTTCATTCATTTACTTGCTTGGTATAAAACTGTGTGAAAATGATTGATTACAAGGCAAGGAGGCGGGGAAAATGCATTAAACTCAACAATAATACATAGTATGAACACCAATATATTCGTTAATATTCATACAAAATAAAAATGTATTCAACCTTTGCTAAATACGACTATACAGATGGTTCCATGAACTCCACCAATGATTTGTAAAAATTACTTGCTGTCCATATATATTAGTAAACTCTTTTTGACGGTGAAAAGTGAAAAACGTTGTACAGCTAACAGAAATGAGTAATGACTTTTTGCACGCACATTCCAAAGCACATAGCACATATGCATACATATGTGTGCGCGATGAAATTACCTTTTTTCGACAAATTTAAAATACATAACAGTCGGCCGAGCTCACAGTAATAAACATGTGGTCTATTTTATGACCCTTTCACATCTCTAAAAAGTACCTTTTTACAAAAAAAAAGCATGTGGTTGAAAACTTAGCACAAGTCTGATTTCGCTTATTTTCAATTCGAACCTACCTTGCATTTTGCACGTTTTCCCGAAAATCGTAGATGGCGAAAAATTTTAATCGCTTTTATGATCCCGGCATTTTCAGGAGCTCATTATAACAATCCCGAGTTCCCGGGATTAGTCCCGGGATTTAGATATTCATTACTTTTCAACAACTTAATTCGAAAAAAAAACTACTTCTATATTGTTTGAGAAGCTCTCTTTCCATAAAATAAATAATAAATAAATGGGTTTGAAACCTACTTTTTTTTTAGTGATGTTTTTATTTTTTCTCTGTGACGTTATGACTTATTTTAACGGACTTTGTAATTTCAAAGATATAATTAATTCCAAAAATTACTTAAAAAATTCAATGCAATGTAAAATAAAAATATGAGTACCAAATGCAAGAGGAAATTTGTTTAGAATTTAAAAAAATTTTAATTTTTTGGATTCTCAAGGGCGAATAGGTAATTTTTTAAGCTGATAAAATTAGAAGGATGAAACTCGAGGATGTTATCGAGTTTATATAAGTCCTTAACATATAATTTATTCAAAAAGAAATATTGTGAAATTTCGAGGATAAAATTGTAAAAGGACATTTTCAATACTTACCAGTCCTTCTGCACCCAAAACTTGAATCGGTTTAAATTTTACAGGATTTGCTCTTTAATTTGATATCTATACTGTTCTAAGCAAATTTCTCTGAATTTTTTAAATCATTTCTTGAATTACTCACGTCCAGTGTTGCCATTTTAGCCGTTTTCCGGCTAGATTTAGCCGGTTGCAACAGCAAACAGCCGGAGAAATTTCGGTTTAGCCGGAAGCCGATTTGTTAGCCGTTTTGTAAAAAAAAATTAGCCGTTTTTAGCCGATTTTGCTATTTCTTTGTTTTCTTAAAATTCAAATATATATTTTTCCATTTTTGACTAAGCGTCCCAAAATCTGTTAGAAATGGCTACTAGCGTTATCGTGGAGGCAGGGTTATATAAAATTGGGCCGATTCGATTATTTTTATTTTAAACAAATTTATTTTTTTTCTAAGAAGGCCGTAACGGGGACTTTCTTCATAAAATGTTTGTTATCAATGACTTAAATTTAAGTGTGAAGTTTTATTCGCAAACTTAGAAAATAGCAAATTGTTTCACTGTATGCTTAACAGGCGTTTGTGTTTGGATATACTGCCAAGAATAAATGTTACAGGTATTGTCTTCCCAGATAGCGTATATTCAGTTCTGCCTTAATTACAAAACATCATTGTTGCCCACGCTTAAAGTTTTAAGGCAAGGGAGAAATGGATATTTTCAAGCACTATGTACACATATGACCTTATTTAAACTAAATTTTTTTTCCTGAGAACTTATTTAAATTCCAAAAACCGAAGGCCAACTTGAATTAAAAGAACCAGCACTGAAATGCATAAAAATGAAAGTAAAAGAGCACAAATTTTTATGTAAAGCAAAACTCTCTAGGAAGACAATAGGTTTGTTCGTCGAAAATCCAGCGAAAATTATCACTCAAAATATCAGTTAGTAAGAAAAAATGCTCCCAAATTCTCTCTCAAGTAGAGAAACTTGAAAATGTCTGCACAAACGCAAATTTGCAGGAATTTGCCAGTTTATCTGCCAGCTAGTGTCCACGGTTGCATTTAAAACATAAGAAGTTTGTATAGAATTTTAAAGTTCTTTCAGAGGGACAAAAAACAACATCTACATGTATATTTCTTGCTAGTCCGACTTTCTTCAACATACGTTTCAATTTCTTTGCCGTACTAACTGTCGCGTTTCCTATATCGACTCTGGTTGAGATTGCGTTACGAGTACGTTTCAAATCATTGGAATTAACTAAACTAATTAAGTAAACAAGTCTTTACTTAAATTTTTTATTATAAATCGCTCAAGTTTGTAAATTTTTAAATTTGACGAACCTGTTTATTCAAATTATTGTCGACAAAAAATGCAACCATGTGCCGCATTCATATGTTTTTTTCCAGTTGCAAATTTTTGCCGCCAAAATCTTTTCCAGCTTGAATTTGCAACTTCTCCCCAAGAACTAGTCTTTCTACTTATGATTTATTTAAATAAAACATGTGAAATTTAGTTGAAACAGTTTAGCCGTTTTTAGCCGGTTTTTTTTGCCAATCTAGCCGGTTGGCCCAGAAAGTTCTGGCAACACTGCTCACGTCAGAGTGAAAAACTAAAAACGCAATTTCACTATATTTGGCCCGTCGTTTCGCGAATATATTGATATTTGCGTTTAAAATTTACTATCGCGCGATGTTATAAGTATAATGAGCTAGACACTTATAAAAGATTTAATTATTAAATAAAAAAAAGAAATATAGCCAATAATGGTCAAGAAAAAGAGTTTCTATTGTTGCCACCATTGCAAATTCTAAATCCCGAAAATCCCGTGATTATTTGCCAAGAATCCCGGGATTGTTGGGAGCTTAAAAAGGCTGGGATCCCGGGATTAACATTTCTAATTTGCAGTTATTAAGACTGCCAACTATCCTCAGCTATGAGGTGCCATATTGGGGATACAAAAGTGCCAAGGAAAGCTGCATTATTTTTAATCGACCGAATAGTATTTCTTTCTTTCTTATTCAGCAATAAAATAAGAAGCACATTTCTAAAACAAAAGCGTAAATACTATATGTAGCAAATAAAATAAACCTGTTGTATGAACTTAAAAACCACAAAAACATTTACTTAGTTGCTGAAAGGGTAGTGCACGCGAAAGATTATTCAAGAATTTATGAAATATTAATATTTTTCAAAAGGGCCATTTTTGCAGCTTATGACAAATTGAAAAAATGTTTGCCATTTGAAGAAAAATAGAGCCAAAAATGGCACGGTTTGAGCCAAGTATACAGGCCTGGCAGTAATGGCTGTGAGCCCTTCTTTTATATTAAAACCATCGCAGCCATTTTAAGCTAAGATACTTTTTGAGTTGAAAGATGAGTTCAGAAATCTGTATGCGTGCTTCCTGTAGTTGGTACGTTTCTTATATTCCTATACATTTAGTCTTTTGAGGCTGAAATGGTTACCAGTTGATCGATTTTCGTTTAGGTGACAGTATTATTTGTGTTTGGACAAAATTAAATTTTTGGTATTTTTGGAAAATTCAAAACACTATGAAGATATCAACAAACAAGCAAGAAAGTGTAAGTTCGGGCGTAGCCGAGCATTAAATACCCGTCGCAAGTATTAAATATATGTTTTACACCTTTCCGAAAGCTACCGCTACAATTTTGAGTAAATTAGCGTCCTTAAATTTCGAAGTATTGAAGTTTCAAGCATTTCTGAAATTTACCTTTATATGAAAAACGGCCGTAATTTTAGTCCGATTTCAACAATTTTCAACGTTTTGCTTTTATATGGCAAGCACAATAAAAATACCGAGTTTAATACAAATTGGTAGAACGGTTACCGAGATACATATATGTGATCATAAATAAGCGGTGACATGCTCTTTTTCCAAAATTTTATCCTAAACGTATTTCTTGGTAAATAATTGTTGCAAGCATCAATTTTGAATAAATTAGCGTTAATATTTACTGATTTATCGTAGATTTCGTATTTCTCTAAATTACCGTTATATAGGATGTGGGCGTAGTTATTGTCTGATTTTAAAAATTGTCGGCCATTTAGTATGCTGTACCAAGGCCAACAACTGTGCCAAGTTTGGAAGAAATTGGTGCAGCGGTTACCAAGATATAAACATGTAACCATAAATGGGCGTGACTACGGACGGACAAACAGACAGTCACCGCTTAATCGATTTCTCTTTTCATTCTGATCATTTATGTATACATTTGTCTATATCTATTTCGATTCGTTTTGGCTCTTACAAACAACCGTTATGTGAACAAAGTTATAATACCCTTGTCCACAAGTGCGCTCGGGTATAAAAAGGCATTTGTATGTACATACATAAGTATATAGCGATGTCCATCTGCAGAAAAGACACAACTCAAAATTGCATATATTTATTTATATTTACTAAATTTTATAAAGCGGTCATAATTTGAAAGCTTACAAATTTTGCCTACAGATTGACTGCAAATAATGAAACGCGAAAACATTAATTGGATCTACTGAAAATGGTTATAA